GCTACAGTGTTGCCAGTAATGTTAGCAAATGCAAATTTGAAAAGAAAGTTATCAGTACACCTTCATTTGTTATCAGGTATTTATAGATTGAAAAATAAATGCTGCAGGTATGGCATTAATAGATTGTAATGCTTGTAAGAGTTCAGGAATGGTTACTGCTTAGCTACCTCTGAAGAGTTGGATGTCTGCCATACGGACGTTAATAGTCTCAGGTTATCATCATCAGTACAGGATAGAGTAGTTATAAATCGAGCATTTATATTTACAATAATAATTTTTTAATTATTGTAATTAATAATAATAATAACATTTTTAATTCTGGAGGTGGGTTAGGTAGTATTTAGCCGACTGGAAATAGCAACTTGGAGCTTCATTAGCTTACAAGAGACTGCAAGTTCACATATTATAGGATGCAGGCAGATTTTTTTGGCCATTTTTCAGACAAAAAAGTGCATCTTATATGCCATAAAATATGGTAGTTTCTTTATCTCCATAGATTTTTCTATGAATAAGCAAAGGTATTAAGTCCATGATATAATTTTTTTTCAGGTGTTTTTTGTTGACTATGGCACAGTGTGTAAGTGTGACTACACATGTCTGCGTCTCATTCATAGAAGATTTTTCACACTCCCAGCACAGGCCATCAAAGTGAGTGATCATTAGTAATGCTGTACTTCAATTTACTCTACCCTCTTTGCCACTTGTCATTTTACCTGGTAGTCAGGTGGCTGATAGGTCTGTTATGCGCTGATTAATTATTGTATGAACAAAGTGACTTTCTTTAATTCATTATGTCTTTCTTTGAAATGATAAGGGTTTTTTAGTTTGACCCTCATTCATCTATCAACCATTTGTCCTTAAACTCGGATATTTCATCCCAATCAACCTTGAATTCTGGATATTTTGAAATCACCCCTCCCCCCCCTCCCCAAGAAGAAAAAAAATATTGTGTAAATGCAGTGCTTCTTTTCATTACTATATTTCATCTACTTATCAATATTTACAGGCATCTTTAAGTGGTGTGATTCCTTCAAAAAAGTGTAAGGTGTGGAGTCAAGCAGCTTCACAGAGGTTCCTGCAGTTGATCCAGAATAAAGAGCTTGTGGCCAAAATTGTCTCCGTAGAGGTAAGATGTGTTTTAAACTTGCCATGTATCAGAGGATTAATATCAATAAAGAAAAGATGGTTGCTTCAATTCATAGAAAATAAGAGGTGAGAAATACTGAAGTGTAATGGAGATTCAGAATGGCTCTAGTGGAGGATCAGAATGACTGAAAGTCAAGGATATGAGCTGTGGAGTTTAGGATTTGTGAAATATTGAACTCTGGGATGTTCTAGATGTTTGATTAGAATAACTAGGGTTAAAATTGTAAAGTGGATACAGTAAGCCCCCAATAAAAAGGACTAATTGGGGGGGAAGGCCGGTCCATTAAAGTTGAAAGTCTGCTATATCCAGATCCGGAATAATAATGGACTATGTCGGTTATCTGGCTATCAACATACAGTAGTCCAAAGTGACCACATGGCTCACCTTTCACCACCAACACTCACCATCACCACTAACAATCACCACCAACATGCACCATCACCACTATCACTCACCACCAACACTCACTATCACCATTAACATTCACCATCACCACCACATTCACCATCACCACTAACATTTACCATCACCACTAACAATCACCATCACCACCAACACTCACCATCACCACCAACATGCACCATCACCACTATCAATCACCACCAACACTCACTATCACCATTAACATTCACCATCACCACCACATTCACCATCACCACTAACATTCACCATCACCACCACATTCACCATCACCACTAACATTTACCATCACCATTAACAATCATCACCACCAACACTCACCATCACCACCAACACTCACCATCACCACCAACACTCACCATCACCACCAACATGCACCATCACCACCTATCAATCACCATCACCACCAACACTCACCATCACCACCAACACTCACCATCACCACCAACAATCAGCACCAACACTCACCATCACCAACACTCACCATCACCACCAACACTCACCATCACCACCAACACTCACCATCACCATTAACAATCACCATCACCATTAACAATCACATCCACACTCACCATCACCACAACACTCACCATCACCACCAACACTCACCATCACCACTAACAATCACCATCACCACCAACACTCACCATCACCACCAACACCACCATCACCACCACTCACCATCACCACCAACACTCACCATCACCACCAACACTCACCATCACCACTAACAATCACCACTAACATTCACCATCACCACCAACACTCACCATCACCACTAACAATCACCATCACCACTAACATTCACCAACACTCACCATCACTCACCATCACCACTAACTTCGCCATCACCACCAACACTCACCATCACCACCCTCACCATCACCACTAACACTCACCATCACCACTAACACTTACCATCACCACTAACACTCACCATCACCACTAACATTCACCATTACCACTAACATTCACCATCACCACCAACCTCACCATCACCACCAACACTCACCATCACCACTAACACTTACCATCACCACCAACACTCACCATCTAACACTTACCATCACCACTAACACTCACCATCACCATAACACTCACCATCACCACTAACACTCACATCACCACTAACACTCACCATTACCACTAACATTCACCATCACCACCAACACTCACCATCACCACTAACAATCACCATCACCACTAACATTCACTTCACTACTAACATTCACCATCACTACTAACATTCACCATCACCACTAACAATCACCATCACCACCAACACTCACCATCACCACAACACTCACCATCACCATCACCCACTCACCATCACCACCAACACTCACCATCACCACCAACACTCCACCATCACCACCAACACTCACCATCACCACCAACACTCACCATCACCACTAACATTTACCATCACCACTAACACTCACCATCACCACCAACACTCACCATCACCACCAACACTCACCATCACCCCAACACTCACCATCACACCCACCATCTACCAACACTTACCATCACCAACACTCGCCATCACCACAATTTGCCATCACCACAACATTCACCATCACCACTAACATTCTCACCACCAACACTCACCATCACCACTAACATTTACCCACCATCACCACAACACTCCCTCCACCAACACTCACCATCACCACCAACACTCACCATCACCAACACTCACCATCACCACCAACACTTACCATCACCACCAACACTGCATCACCACTAACATTCGCCATCACCACTAACATTCACCATCACACTAACAATCACCATCCACCAACACTCCCACCATCACCACCAACACTCACCATCACCACCAACACTCACCATCACCACCAACACTCACCATCACCACCAACACTCATCACCACCAACACTCCATCACCACTAACATTTACCATCCACTAACACTCACCATCACCACAACCTCACCATCACCACAACACTCACCATCACCACCAACACTCACCATCACCAACAACACTCACCATCACCACCAACACTTACCATCACCACCAACACTCGCCATCACCACTAACATTCGCCATCACCACTAACATTCACCATCACCACTAACATTCACCATCACCACTAACATTCACCATCACCACCAACACTCACCATCACCACTAACAATCACCATCACCACTAACATTCACCATCTACTAACATTCACCATCACTACTAACATTCACCATCACCACTAACATTTACCATCACCACTAACACTCACCATCACCACCAACACTCACCATCACCACCAACACTCACCATCACCACCAACACTCACCATCACCTCTAACAATCACCATCACCACTAACAATCACCATTACCACTAACAATCACCATTACCTCCTAACAATCACCATCACCACTAACACTCACCATCACCATTAACAATCACCATCACCACCAACACTCACCATCACCACCAACACTCACCATCACCACTAACAATCACCATCACCACCAACACTCACCATCACCACTAATAAATAGCCAAATCCGCGAATATCATTTACTGACGGGGGGGAGGGGGTGTACATTTTTACTAGTGTTGCAGAGAAACATATATATATTCCCTTTACAGTATGTGTTTGCCCTTAGGACAATGATTTTTTTTTCCTGTTTTGTGTGTGTGTGTGTGTGTGTGTGTTTGTGTGGACACATACACACACAAGAAAACACATACAGTGAATTCTGCTATAACGCGTGTTTTGACAACGCGAATTGGCTCTAACGAGATTTATGAATAGAGTAACGATACAGTGACCCCTCGTTTAACGAACACCTCGGTTAACGTAATTTCGATTAACGATCTGCCTTCCATAAGGATCTTCAATTCGGTTAACGAAAAAAATTCGGTTAACGAAGTTCTTACGAACCGACCTCAGCATGTTTTCGCTTGCACTGACCGGGCAACCAGCTTTAGTATCAGTCCGCCAATACATTAATCGGTTCTAGGGCTTAAATTCCTTACTATTTTAGTAAATATCAAGAAGTTTATACTATTCAATAATTTTAAAAGTTTAATATTCAATTTTTAGTCATTTTAACAATTATTGAACATAATTGAAGGTAAAGTGACTAGTTTAATGCGCGGCATCCAGCCTCTTAACACAGCAAACAGGAGTTAGTCTCTCTCTGTTTTCACTGGAGGTAACATCTTGCTTGAGACTCTCTTCAACTAAACGCTTTTTTCTGTGTTTCCAAGCAAATTATTGGTCATTTTGAAATATATTTTACATATTGACAATATATAATGCAGTGCAGTGTTGATTTAAAGAAAATAATCTTGAATTACACCAAGAGAACTAAAATTTTATGGGTGAAATGGCGCCATGGGGTGACTTCTCTTCCACCCCAATGCCTTCTCTTCTCCCTTCTCCTCCACCCCCATTCTAATTCCCATCATCATCATCATCATCCAGGAGCCTTCTACATACACACCTCAAAGTAAGTGAACTTTTCTACCATTTTTGTTGAATTTAGGAAATTTTCGGTGAGCTGGAACCAATTACCCAAAAACCCATTGAAACAATGGTTTCGGCTAACGAACTTTTCGGTTAATGAACGACCTTCTGGAACTGATTGAGTTCGTTAATGGAGGGGTCACTGTATTTGCAATACGCGAACGCTTGTTTGCTGAAACGCGATTTTTGCTTACTCTTTCTCCAATTTTGTGGTATTAACTGTGAATATGGTAAAGAAGAATATCTCCAAGAAGCGTTCTGGTGATCGCATTCCCGGTGTTGATCGTAAAAGAAAGGCTATAACACTTGAAGAGAAGCTCGATGTTATCAATCTCAAAATCACCCTTCTCCCCCATCAAGTTATATTCATATTTTTTCAAGGTAAAGTGTTACATTTACTGTATGATTTCATTGTTAGATATGAATGTAACATTTATTTAGACTGTACTATCCTTTGTGTTATGCTAACTACTAAATTTTTTTCGATTTCGAGTAGTAATCTGCACCTAACCCTATTTTCTCCATAAGCCCTGTTATTTCTATTACCCGAATTTCTATAACACAATGTTTTACAAGAACACAACTATCGCTTATTGCCATACGGCAATTTTTTCCTCGTAAAATTTACTGTCTAGAACGAGTGGCTCCCTGTCCTGGCTGCAAAAATTCCATCTTTAAAACTATCAGCAGACATTCTTGGGTACATCCAGGGTGTCATCCACAAATAATCAAGGATTGCCAATTAAATGCCCACGAATTGTCAGGACACGCTGTACTTATAATATATATGTAAAAAATAAATAAATACATAAATAAAATAAATAACGAAGTGATAATCGTGATAATATATTTTGATATATTCTTACTAATGCCATGTTACGTGTACTCTTCCAGATGATATTAAATGTCACATAATACTTCCTTGAGATAAATGTACAGTATATATTAAGTGTCATTAAGAGAGCTCAGGCATGTCAATATTGTTATTATTATTGACTGTGTATCTGTATTTTTCTGGCTAAATAAACCGTTTCAATATCGATAGTGTACATTAGTACAGTACGTTGCTCTCATTGGCAGAGAGACTGTATACAAGCATGGCCGCTGTCGGTGACTCCCAAGTGTTCTGTCTTATACCTTCTGCCTTGTGTTAAGGATTTTAATTTTTTTTTTATAGTAAAAACTCCAGGAGAGGACCAAGGAGCTCTATAATAAATCAGTGTTATGCAGAGTAGGGATAAATGCGGTATTACTGTAATTATTTGTGATAATTTGGATATGACTGGTCTATTATTTTTTACTTTAATAGTCCTGAATCTGTAATATATGAACCAGTCCAATGATCATTAAAGCCGAGGTCTGTTATAGATGGTGTCCGTTATATTGGGGGGTTTACTGTATATAGATATAATGTAGAGGGTGTGTTGGAAAAAAAGGTGGTGCATTACTTAAGGAGTAAATTGGGAAGGTGGTAAGAAAAACTGAGATGGGCTTAAAGATACATAGTAACAGGAGAAGCTGGAGGCCTTAATATCATAAGAACCTGCTCAGAAGGAAGATGCTTAGGGTAGTGAGGTATTCAAGACAAGTTTCTTGCATTATAAAAATGCTTCATTTCTTTCAGGATGTAACAACTGTGAATCTGTGGGACATGAGTGGAGGAGAGGACCTAAACTTTGCAGAAATTCTTGTGGCTGAAGGTTGGGCTGTCATCAGTTCAGCTCCCTTGAATGAAAAACTTCCCGCAGAAAGTTTATGTGATGCAAGTTTTGTTAACACACAGTTCAGAATTCCTGAAGGGCCAATCATTCAAGATGTTGGTCCAGTGACTAAAAGTTTAAATTTGAAAGAGGGTCAGAGTCATCGAGAATTGAATACAGTTCCCTCATTGTCTAACTCAGGAACACAAACTATTAATCTTGTGGATGCAACTGATCAAGAGGTTGTAGTAACTACCTGTGATTTTCTAACACCACAGAGTGTGACTTATCCACCCGTACCAAAAGATTGTAGCAAGAATTGCCAGTTTTCTCATGTGGCTTCTCCAACCATGACAGTTAAATCAAACAGTCACAGCCAGTCACCTCCTACACTTTTTACAGATGACTTTAATAATCACAGCTATTTATCTTCTTGCTCTCATAATGAATTGACAGAGTTGAATCAAGCAACATTACAAAACGAGATGATGTCCAGAAACCATGCAGCAGTTACTGATGCAAAGGAGCCATTTTTAAAATCAACTGGATTTGGAACAATTCCTGCAAGCCACAAAAACAGTTATCCTCGAGCTCAGTTAGTACTGTCTGCCTTTAAATTTGCTTCAACTGATCCTTCACCCAATAGTGAAACAGTACACGTAGATGTAAAAAGGACCAATCCTCCACCTGGGTTTAGCCCTGAACCTAATAGTGTCCAAATTGTTGCTGGTTCATCTGGACCCAAGACAAATGTAACCAGTGCTCAGTATCATACCATGACTCCCACAGAAATGGATTACATGTTCTTCAGTGATGAGTAAGTTGTTTTTGTACTCTTAATGAAGCTTTAGCACTGTTTAATACTTTAGGAATTCTATGTAATAAATAATAATAATAATAATAATAATAATAATAAACGGTTTATTGAAAAAGTTTGCAGCCCGAAGGCTGAAAATATACATTGGACATAAATGACTTATTACATACATTGGTGGTTTAACAAAAGCCTTCATTAGAGAAAGGTGAAGGAACATACAGTGAACATACAGATTAATGTTTACACAGGTAGATCATGTGAGCTGAGGTGTTGAACAGCAGACACGTAGTGTAGTAACTCCCTCACAGATGGCGTTATGAGGGGCATCACGTGGAGTACTAGTTCCCTCACAGGTTGTGTTATGAGGGGCTTGATGTGGTGTAGTAATTCCCTCACAGATGGTGTTACGAGGGGCCTGATGATGTAGTAGTTACCTCACAGATGGTGTATGAGGGGCCTGATGATGTAGTAATTCCCTCACAGATGGTGTTATGAGGGGCCTGATGATGTAGTAGTTACCTCACAGATGGTGTTATGAGGGGCATCACGTGGTGTACAGTAGTACAGTAGTACCCGGGTCAATTGAACCCACAGGGTACCGCGGAAAGTGAAAACCGCGTAAAGTGAACAACAGAACATATGGGATCAATTCCAATAGAGACTGGCCCGACCCCCAAACTCCACTTTTTCCGACACAATACCTATGTTGTAGTAAAAATATCATCTAAATTTTATGATGGTATGCTCACACAATTAATATTTAAGAGAAATACAGTCGCCAGGTTAATGTCCATTCAAATAATGGACTCAAATCCCCCCCCCCTCTTCCCAGCTCACTAGCTCCTACCTCTCTGAGAAATGTTGGGTGAAAACACTAGATTTTAACGTTTAGTAATAAATAATACCTCAGACTAAAGTTAGGATAAGTGACTAGTTTAATGCGCGGCATCCAGCCTCTTAACAAAGCAAACAGGCGTTAGTCTCTCTCTGTTTTCACTGGAGGTAACATCTTGCTTGAGACTCTCTTCAACTAAACGCTTTTTTTCTGTGTTTCCAAGCAAATTATTGGTCATTTTGAAATATATTTTACATATTGACAATATATAATGCAGTGCCGTGTTGATATAAAGAAAATAATCTTGAAAACCACCAAGAGAACTAAAATTTTATGGATGAAATGGTGCCATGGGGTGACTTCTCTTCCACCCCAATGCCTTTTTTTCTTCCTTCTCCTCCACCCCCATTCTAATTCCCATCATCATCATCATCATCCAGGAGCCTTCTACATACACACCTCAAAGTAAGTGAACTTTTCTACCATTTTTGTTGAATTTAGGACATTTTCAGTGAGCTGGAACCAATTACCCAAAAACCCATTGAAACTATGGTTTCGGTTAACGAACTTTTCGGTTAACGAACGACCTTCTGGAACGGATTGAGTTCGTTAATGGAGGGGTCACTGTATATGCATGATACAGTTTTTTTTTTTGGTGACTTCACAACATTTTATTTACCATCACTATACTTAACATCACTATACAAGAGGGACCTTTCAGTTTGCACCCTTAACTAAGACTTCCCTCGAGCCAGGAGTAGGGGTAAAGGGTGCATCGAAACTATGGCAGGTGAGTGTACATCTAGAAAATATTTTTGTTTGTACAGTATTATAAATAGATTATTTTATGTGGCAGCCAAGGCAAGGCGCAAGAACTGAATAGAAAATGAACGAATACAGTAATGGAACGCGATCAGCTGGGCAGTACCAGCTGACTCAGAGACGTGTGTGTCGATACATAGACATAGTTACAGCTCAGTGCTGACTGTCACCACACAAATGTTCACTTCCCACACTTACACATCCATGCACTTCACTTTTCTTATTTTATAGTTTTATATTTTTTTTATTTCTAAGTCACATTAGAGTATTGTAATTTGTACTCTTTTGCTATGTGTTAGAGAAAATGGTTTTACTAGGGTAGACTGTAAAATATAGGATATTATACTGTATAATATCCTGAGTGATTTACATCCCATGGAAAGTACCTGTACATGTTTACATGTTTATTTATATACTCTGACTTGAATTATACTTAAGAGGAAACAAATATTTGTTGAAATTTTTTAGTTTTTATTACAAAAACCTTAATTCATATAAATATCAACACCATCTCTGAAACATTTATTATTTCTGACTTAAAATATTATGACAAAAATTATAATTTTGGTAGCTTGATGCAATGGTTTCATCACCAACGCCTTCCTGTCTCTCTATACTTCACTTTAACAGCAAGTTGGATTTAACAGCATGGGACCTGATTAATTGGCACGGTCCAGGTCCAGTTGATGCCGTTAAATCAAGGTTCATCCTGTATACACGATATCTGTGTAGCAGCATCCACACACATCAGGGATCCAGATAACTGTTTTTCAACAACCATGAACTGTAATTTGAATTACTAGACCTACATTTGGATATAAACTGTGATTTCAGTCTCCATTCCCTAATTATGTGTGGGGAAAATACTAGTTACCTGAAACCCACCCACACTCCTCCCTTGGTGAGGTATTAAACTGGCAATAAAAAATTTGAGCTTGAACACTAAAATATTACACTTGATATCTGAGGATGATTTTGAAGTGCATACCAGTAAGATAATGAATCAGAGTCAACACACAATACAGTACAGTAGTTTGGATGATGTGTCTGTTAATAAACTATAGACCATTTTTGATGGGTAAAGAAAATGTGTTTACTATTCAGTGTTTCTTTCAAGTAATTTATTTCCTCCTCACAGACATAGAATGGGATTTTATAGTTCAATCCTTCATTTTTACCTACCTTATTTATGTAATGGCATCCCAAATCAAAGGTGGTCATGCCGAGGAGAAAAGACCAGTGACCTCAATAGGATCATCCCTCCAGTGTTCTTGATAGCCCAGTAATGTTGTCAGTATTATAGCTTGAGCTGGTAGGCTGTTCCATAGGTTTACCACCCTCTGTGTGAAGTACAGTATTTCCTTACATTCATCCTGCATGCAGTCCTGAATTTAGGGGGGTGTTTAAGAGAAAACAGTTATTCTTTAGGTTCAGTAATGTTAACTATCAAACAGATTATTCATATATTTATAAATTTATTTCTAACACCCAGAGATGAACCAGATGGACCCTATCAGTATGAGTGCAAGATAAGACCCACACCACTGACTGCTGGTAAAAAACTTTACATTGTAATGTTAAATGCAAATCCCTTTGTCATGAGCGCTGATATATCCCAATTGTTGTGGCACTCGGATATCCTTGTGACTCTTCTCCAGCAAAAAAGAAGAGACTACCCAAAGATTATTATTACAATAAGAGCTGACCCAAATGTGTACAATAAGCTAATGGAGTAAGTATTGATGGTGGTTTAGTATTAACTGATTATGCTACAGCTGTGGGTTTGGGACACAATGTTAGGAGTATCCATTTTGGAGGAATAATCTATGTTCTTATTGTAATATGAGTCATATTGGGTAATAACAAAGTGATATAGGAATAAATGTACAAAAACAGTAAGTATCTGTTAACCAAAAATTTTGGACCCACAGGCTTTTGTAAATGGATATTTAAGTAAATTGGATACTCTCGTGAACATGTGTCCAAGGAAGGCATGTAATAAACCATAATACAGTACTGTACTTTTGTGACTTTGGTTATATTATTAGTCTCTGCAAATGCCTGTACACTAACTCACTTCATTATTCTCAAACACTCTCAATGTTATTAAGTCTACAAATAATCTTTCAACGTGTCATCATTATCCTAATTTGTCCACAAACTCAGATGAAGACAAATAGACTCATCATTCACACCATGCATAGTTACTGAGCCAGTTACCTGGTTGTCCCACTTCTCATTTACTGTAATCTCATGTACTGTACTGTATTATGCATGTAGAAAATGGAATAAAATAAAATTACTCTACATTTTTAAATTTCATAATTAGAATACCGCACTCAGATATCTTTTTTTATTCCTCCTGCCAGCTGTTGCAGGGGTCCTGGGCATATAGTGTTTGCATTTTTCCTTTGTTAGATAAGTTTTTCAAGTGCGGTAATCAGACATAATACAGTATATTGTACAGACAAATTCTAATTGTACTGTATATAATTTTGTTTTATCCATCAAAATGTTTTCCATTGACCAATATTTTAAGTTACAATGTCTCTTAAGGACTGGAAGCTCATTTAATTCTTCACACTTGTATTTCTAATTCCAGTCAACTTGTATTCATAGTATAATGTTTGAGGCACTGTATTATGTTCCAAGGCACAGATTCCTGTAGAAACAGTCAAATTATTCAACTTAGCTTCTTACATATCCTAATATATTTCTATCCCCATTCTATTAGTGTGGAGGAGACATGGTGTTAGTTACATCCATCTGCCCACATGCTCGACCACATGTTTCTCTGTGTTGGGTGATGATATTTATTATAAAAGTGGTGATATTTGGTTTATAGCAGAAGCTGCCTCTAACTCACTTACAGGTTCTATACTTTTCATTTTAGTATTGTTATTATTATGAAATTTTTCTAGTCATTCTGTTATATATCTCATTTTAAGGATTTTTAACATTTTTTTTTTTTTTTGTGCAGTAATGTCCAGTATTCTCATATGTTTAGTGGTTTTATGACCTGGAGATCTATCACATCCTCTGGTGACAGTTTATGCATAGCAACACAGAAAATTATGAAGAGCTTTTGTAAATTCATTCATATTTTTATTTTTTATTTAGATATTTGTTAGGGACTTGGTAATTTTCTGGCAAACCCTGATGTTTTAAAGGAACTCTTCAATATAATGTTTGTATTTTAACCAGTGAAGGTTATCCAAGGTGTGTTATGGCATAAAGATTGATTATCTACTGATATTATGAAAAGCTTTTATAGCATTTTACCCTACCCTTATTCTAAGGAGGTAGGGTAGGCCATCCCCACCTTCTTGTGGTGCACACTGTTTGTACACAGGGCAGTGTACTGGGCCCGCTGTTGTTTGTTTATTTCATAATTGACATGATGGAAGCTAGACTCCTCCATGGAAATGTTTGTGAAAGATGCCAAGTTATTCAGGGAAATAGAGCCAAACAGACTGAAAAACTTCATAAAGATCTCTGAGTTTCAATAGTGGTCTAAGAAAGGGCTGCTAAGATTCAATGTTGCGAAGTGTAAGAAGATTCACCTGGGTCTTTCCAATGGTAAGGAGGCGTAACACATGTCCCAGTGGGAAGAAGAAACTGCATTAATAGAGAACGAATGTGAAAATGCCCTGGGTTGTGTATGTTGACAATGAACTGAAGTTCTCAGGCCATTGTGAGAAGAAGGTGAATCAAGCTATTGAGCTAGTAGGTCTTTTAAGAAGGTCGTTCAGATATCTCGACAGTCTGTCCCTTGTCACGATCTTCAAGAGTGAGGTGCTTCCCTGAGTAGAGTACTGTCCGGTCTCCAAGATAAAAAATGTCCAAAGGAGGGCCACCAGACTGGTGCCTACACTTCGACACCTCAGTTATCCAGAGATTAGAGCGCCTACAACTGCCTAGCTTATACTACAGAGGGGCAAGGGGTGACCTAATTGAGGTCTATAAACATCTCAAGAGGGCACTACTTGGTCGAGTGCCCATGCCTCGAGCTGGCGGACACCTGTCCCACAAGGGGTCACTGTTCGAGGTTCAAGAAACCACAAGTCCAGAAAACTGTGAACTCTTGGAACAATCTGCCAGAGATTATTGTGATAGCATTGAGTGTGAGCTCTTTCAAGACCAGACTTGATCAACACTGGAGCAGGTTCTGATAGATTCATGAGCCAATGCATGTCCAGTATTTGCCATCAGTGCATAACGGAGACATGACAGACCACCTACGCGGCTAACAAGCTGATCAGTGGCTAAGAGGATAAAAGTAAAAGTAAAGTGGAACCAATTGGGAGGGTGCCACTTAACATCTAGCAGCTGTTTTTCTTCTGATCTGTCTCTTTCAACTATTTTTTCTGCTTGGTGTTGTATTTTAGAGCCCCTGAGGTTTCCCAGGCAGTTTGCAAGTATTTTTTTTCTTTTGTGTTTCCACAATGCCAAGCAAAAAAAAAATGCCCTGTATGCAGGAAGACGGTGACCAAGACAGGGCAGGCTCTATGGTGTTGGTACAGGTAAATCTCGATAAACGATGTCCCGTTCAGTGATATTCCGTTTTAATGATGGTCATGAATTAATTCCACCTCGCTATATATGATAAAAAAAAATTGATAAGGAAACAATATTTAACCCTATGTACCACCATAGGGAACGCATCTCTCGTGCTGCCACACGACCAACCCGCACACTACAGTCCTGTGCCTGGTTCTTTGTCGATCTCATCTGCCAGTCATCGTGTAGCTCCATGATTATTGTTCAGCATCGTTGGCTGTATGTACATTGTACTTATTATTGGTGTTTTTGTTTTATAGTAAGAGAACAGCACTAACATTTACACCGAACTGTGTTATGGTGACTTGGAAGTGATTTTTTTGTGTGTGTGTGCATGACTGTAAAGTGCTTTGCCTCTGTTTTGTGAACATGTGATCTGTGTCGGCCTCCCAGAGGCTGTGTGGGAGTCAGAGTGAAGTCTACACTCCACCTACAAGAGTCCCCTTAGCCTCGAAGGGGTCATGTGATGATGGTTAGGCCTGTTCTTCATGATGTGGTGAGTGTTGTTTAATTGTTTTCTATTGGTTTTATGGGTGTAGGAATTTTTTTTTTTTTTTTTTTTTTTTTTTTTTTTAGTGTGTTGAGAACTGACTGGGAACATATCCTATTGGACCCCATGTTATAATGATCCCAATCTACGATATTTCACTTTGCGATGGTTTTTTCAGGAACCTAGCCCCATTGTTTATCGAGGTTTACCTGTTTTGCATTACCTGGTACCACACCACTTGTAGTGACCTTGATGAGGAAAATGACAACCTCATGACCAAGAGGAGACCCAGCTTTCAGTGCTTTTGTGCAGGTTGTGAAGACAAAGTGATGACATCCTGGGCACAGCCAAATCAAATCTGGAAGCTAAATTAGCTATTAAGTTTGTATCATGACAAATGTTCTGGAGAATTTTGAGCAGTGTGTGACTGGGAGGTTGAAAGCACTGGAGGAGAGGGTTGATTGTTGAGGAGTGGCATCTTTCGAATCTCTTCAATCATTTGCGAACATGTTTAGGAGGCACTGAAGGAGTTGAAAAAAGATCAGGTGGTACTAAAGGAGTGTGTGAAAATCAGTGATTTGGGCAGGAATAGGACAATTCACACCCAGCAGGTACTCATACTGAAGCCAAAGGAGGGCATTGTGGCTGATAAGGCTAAAGTTATTGTTGCTGTAGGAAGTGTTGAGCGAGCACTGAAATCTATTCCTGTTGATAGATACAAGGAGACAAGAACTGGCTCCCTTGTTTTTTTATTTCCACCGAGAAGGCAAAGAAGGAGGCTAGCGAGGTAATGAGTTCCTGCTTTGGTACACACTCAGACTTTGTGGTGTCTGAACCTAGAAAGATTATGCTAAAATTGACAATTGTAGGTGTGTTCCTATTACATTTCCTTTAGATGAAATAGTCTCGGGCATTGTTGAAAAGAATAATGAAATTCAAGAACTGTTAAATAAAGGCTCCAAGTTATCCCCTATTTTCACAAAGATAAAAGAAGAAAGTAAACTCGCAGTCATGAAGATGTCACCTGAAGTACAAAATTCCATCCCATAGAGAAGTTTCAAGGATATGTTTCCATTGGACTGAACAGATGCAAAGCTTAAAACAGGTTTTGGGTCACTCATTGTTACCACTGCCATGCCATAAATTTGGACACCTTGCTTCTGGATGTCCCAGGAAGCCTGGTTCTCCAATTTGTGCCTAGGACACGCTCAAATAAGACCTGACCCTGAGTGGAAATTGTTCCACTCTTGCCATTCTACCCAAGTCAGTAGTCATTTTCCATCAAGTGAAGATTGCCCTATGATTACTTCCCAGCATTAAAAATTTATAGAAAACACTGACTTTACTTGTTCAAAAAATGCATAGTGCCCCCCCCCCCCCTTAACCTATTAAAAGCAGGTCTGCTTAATGTCCATGTGATCTGAAATAAAATGTGTCACGTTAATGAATTTCTGAGGGAGTTTAGCGTGGATATCTTTTGTATAACTGCAACGTGGTTGTATGAATCAGATATCAACATTATTTGTAGTGCTCTTCTGAAGACACATTCTCTTGTTCTTGTTCCTAAACCTGCTGTAGGAGCTCTGGGTGGCAGAGTGGCACTGATCTACTTTGTGGCCCTGCTCAACATTAGACTGATTAGTGGTGACTGTTTTCCTTCTTTGAATTTATGGAGGCATTAATTGCTAAGTTATTAGAATTGCTAATGTGTATCGTCCTGGTCACCCAGGTACAGATAGGAAATTCATGAATCAATTTGGGATGTTGCTTGAGACTTTCTCAGTTGATCTATGGTTTGACAACCTATCTCGGAAATCTTTTTCCTCCGAGTTCTTGAAAATTCTCTATCTAAACAATTTTGTCAATCATGTGTTGTGTCCAACACATCTTTCTGAACACACTCTAGACCTAGTTTTGTCTCCTGCTGACTGTGATCATGTATTAGATGTTATAGTTGACCTGATCGATCCAGCTGTCTCTGACAATGCTTTAGTTACTTTTGGTTTTAATGTCCCAAGACCCCCTTCTTGCAGTAAAACAATTACTTTCAGGAACTATAGAAACATTGACCAGACTATCATTGATCAGGAAGTCGATCATACTTTTAACTGGGTCAAATCCTCTATTTTGTCCTCTGATAAGATGATTAAATTACATAAATATGTCTTCCAGTCTATTTCAGACTGTTATTGCCCAGAGGTCACAAAGAGATGACTCTCTATGATATCACTTATCTATAAATTTTCTTCGTAAGGATCATAGAAGTACTGAACAAGAGTGGCATAGGTGGCGAACAGACCGTACTAGATCAAATTATATGACTGCACCTAGGGCTGTTGTTTGTTTAGAGGGCATGTATAGTTGAATACTATAGAAGATAAGTAGTCTCTTGTGGCAGTGATCCGAAAAAAATTGTATGCATTTATGAATGGGCTGTTGGGCTGGTGGTTCAGAACTGCAATGTCTTCTTCCACTTAAGATGCTCAGCTTGCCTCAGAATTTTCCTTGTTTTTTATGACTGAGATATCACATACAAGAAATGACTTTGATGGTTTTTCTTTAATTGAGGAATTTTCAGTTGAATTTCAACCGAGTTATGCCATAAAATAAACCTCACTCATTCATCAATTTGTCCTAAAAGAGTGAACAACATTCTGTGCTATATCAAGGATTTGAAGAAAACTTTGTTGTCTTGATATTGTAAATATAACTGAGGTGCCACTTGCTTACGAACATGCTGCAAACTTTATTTGTAGAATCATAAATAATTGTTTTGCAGAAGGCAATTTTGTGTGATCAGAGAAATAGGCATTGTTGCATCCACTTTTTAAGAAATCTGGTGCTATGCTGGATCAGTTACTTCCTCTGTTAGAGAGAAATGGAGTGATCACTCTGGTCCAGTCAGCCTAAAGAAAGCATCATTCAACTGAAACTACCTTATATAATATTCATAATGATTTGGTATTTAACACTTGCACAGGAAAGTCCTCTCTTCTGGTCTTGCTTGATCTCTTTAGAGCTTTTGACACTGTGGATCATCATCTGTTGCTTCAGGATCTTTGGCCATTTAATGTCTGTGAGAATGCACTCTCACTGCTTGAGTCTTATTTGTCAGAGCGATATCAATGTGTGATGGTAGGTGATGGAACCATTACAGATCTGGTCCCTTTGCAGTTTGGAATCCCACAGGGATAAGTTTTGGGACCAATTAAGTTTACTGCATCTCTGCAACAGCCTACAATTTCTATGCCGACGATGCAAAACTTTATCTGAAAATAATAAACGCTGAGGATATTGAGGAGATAATGAAATCCCTGATGTCTGATACTGTATTAAGATTTGGATAGCTAGGAGAAAACTTAAACTTAGTGACGGCAAAACAAAGTTCATTGTCATCCATGGAAATACGAGGGGAGACAGCGCAAATTATTTTGGCTCATTAAACTTTGGAGAAGTACAACTTAGTCCTGTTGATTCTGTTCATAATCTTGGAGTTTGCTTTGATTTCAAACTGAATTGTAAAGAGCATATAAATTCAGTAGTTAAGAGTGCAACTTTCATATTTGAAATCTATCGGCTGTTAAACAGTTTTGGGATAGACAGTGTCTTGTGATACTATTACATTCACTAATACAGGTGTTGTCTCAGGTTGACTATTGTAACTCTGTGAGTTTGCCTACCTAATTATCTACTGAAGTAAGTTCAAACAGGGTTGCTAGGCTTATTTTTGCTTTCCCACTGAGGACTCCCACTACCCCATTACATTGGCTTCCAATTAAAGCTAGGATAGAGTTCAAACTCTGTCTAATGTCTTTCAAGACACTAATGTTTGGTGATCCTAAGTAATTGGCCAACCTTCTAATTCCACTGGCTGCACATTCTGAAATGATTTTGCATAATAGCGATGATCCTTCATGCCTTGAGGAGCCTAGAGCAGGGGTTCTCAAACTTTTTTCAACCAAGAACCCCTTATATACCATGATGCATACAAATAATGTCAATAATCAAAGAATAAATCATAGTCTAAAGCATTTGTTCATTTCAACCCAAATCCAAAATATCCTGCGAATTGGAATCGCTAAATCTCTCACAAAAGTTAAATGCACTATTTCTCAAAAACTTTTCACGGACCCCAGTTTGAGAATCACTGGCCTAGAGCAGTATGGGAATGTTCTCCTTCTGCCCGATATTTTTCCTGTACAACACCCAGATTTTAGAATTGGTTGCCTGCATCAATGAAGTAGCTAACTTCTGTGGAGGTCTTTAAGAAGCACTTTAAGACTTTTTTTTTTTGAAAGCTTATGATTCTGAACAGGGTACAATGATGGAGAATTACAGGGTTTAAGAAGTATTAAAACACACTTTTTGTGGTCTTTTATTGTAATACAGTATTTTGTTTTACTGTATTCTCAAGTCTTGACACCATGACAAACAAACAAAGACTATGATGTTGCATTGGTGTTGGAGTGAGAAAAAAATTCTTTTGGACTTTCCATCAGAAAGTGGACTTCCTTCTAGCCTTTAAGACATGTTAATGATAATAAATTGGGGAAAATAACCTCAAAAGCACAGAAGCAAATACACGAAGATGTCGGCTATTTAAAACTGAGGCCACTGTGGCATTAACAACAGGAATACAATGTTGCCAGCCAAACATGTTAGTTTCAAAATTAACCAGGTTAAAAACAACTGGTTTTATTGTAAATCCTGTTTGCTGGGAGTTGGATAAATGGTCTGGTATCTGTATTGGCAAAATTCTGCATAGAATTAGGCTGAGACCAAATGGGTCACGAGGTGCATGAGCCTGAACGTGGAGTGGAGAGCCAGGGGTTGACATTGTTAGAGGTTGTAATAAATGACATCAGAATTAGGAAACTGACAAGAGACAACAAAACACAATCTTGTAGCATGGATAGCTTCTATGCAAGAACCATGGAAAATGGTCTTTAAATGTTAATGATGATGATATGCAAATGATGTTATGTAAAGGTTACAATAATGTGTATTTTATTTTTACTTTTACTTTTATCCTCTTCACTTATCAGCTCGTTAGCCGCTTGGGCTGTCGGTTATGTCTCTGTTATGCACTGTTGGCAAGTACTGGGCATGCACTGGCTCCTGAATATATCGGAACCTGCTCCAGTGTTGGTTAAATCTGGCCTTGAATGAGCTCACACCCGGTGCTGTCACAACACTCTCTGGCAGATTGTTCCAAGATTTCACAATTCTCACTCCGAAAAAGTTTGCCTTTACAATTTTCTGGACTTGTGGCTTCTTGTGCTGTGACCCCTTGTGGGCCAGACGTCTGCCAGCTCCAGGTATGTACAGTACATTCGATCGAGTAGTGCCCCCCTGAGATGCTTATACACTTTGATTAGGTTGTCCCTTGCCCATCTGTAGTATAAGCTAGGTAGTTGTAGGCATTCTAATATCTGGGTAACTGAGATTCCATAGAGTAGGCACCAGTCTGGTGGCCCTCCTGTGAACATTTTCAATCAATTGACAGTCTCTAGCATACCTCGGGGACCAGACGGGATGACAGTACTCCGGACGGGGAAGCACCTCACTCTTGAAAGATCGTGATGAGCGATGGACCATCCAGATAATCTGAACGACCTTCTTATAAGACCTGCTAGTTTCGTTGCCTGGTTCATCTTTTTGTCACAATGGCCCAAGAACTTAAGTTCATTGTCAACATATACACCCAGGTCCTTTTCACATTCGGTTTCACTTTATGCAGTTTCTTCGTCCTGTTGGGAGATGTGATATGCCTCCTGACTGTGGGTGCGACCCAGGTGCATCCTTTTGCACTTTGTGACATTGAATCTTAGGGGGGCCGGTGGTAGAAGCGGTATCGCTCTTGCCTCGCAAGCAAGATGTCACGGGTTCGATTTCCGGGCCGGTGGAAGTTGTTTGGACATACTTCCTAGTCCCCATTAGTCCCTGTTCACCTAGCAGTAAAGCAGGTACCTATTGTAAGTCGAAAGTTGCGAATTTGTATTCAGGGAGTTGTTGGAGCTTTCAATAACTGATGACATAAACCATTGACTCTTCAGGCTTCTACACCCTTGACTCTTCAGGCTTCTACTCCCTTAACTCATGAGACATAAAGGCAAGCATGAACTTAGCATGCATCCCTGTTGGGCGCTGTAAACGCTTCTGCGCTTCACCTTACACAAGGATGTAGGGGGGTGTCCAATAAAAAAAAAAAAGAAAAAAAAAGAATCTTAGCAGCCATTTCTTCGACCATTCTTGAAGCTCATAGAGATCTTTCTGTAGTTCTTCACAGTCTGTTTAGTTCTTAATTTCCCTAAATAAATAGGAATCATCTGCAAAATGTATGGAGGAGTGTATAGCTTGTGGCATATAATTTATGAAGCAAACAAACAACTGGCCCAATACATTGCCCTGTGGTACCGCACTTGTCACAGGTACACAAGACTAAAGAAAAAAATGCCAAAAAATCACCAAATTCTCACAAATATCTCCATACTAATTATATACAGTATATATATATATATATATATATATATATATATATATATATATATATATATATATATATATATATATATATATCAAATTTTTTGAGCACACACACATCGATATGGGTTTCTAGTCGGGTAAAATGATTGAACATGCTCCTTTTGAAGGTTTGGCTGTGTTAATGTGTTTAATGAAGATGGAAGTATTCGGCCCTACATCGTTCTTTATCCTTTGGAGATATTGCCCAGAATTCTGCAGTTTTTCTCATGTGATGATGCAGTACTGACTTCTGTCAAGGTAAGTGCAGTATACAAAATATATATATATATATATGTATATAGGTATATATATATATATATATATATATATATATATATATATATATATATATATATATATATATATATATATATATATATATATATATATGTCTTGAATAAAAAAAGCTTATCTTGTTTGTGATTTTATCAATATATATATATATATATATATATATATATATATATAATATATATGTATATATATATATATATATATATATATATATATATATATATATATATATATATATATATATATATATATGTATATATATGTATATATATATATATATATATATATATATATATATATATATATATATATATATATATATATATACATATATATATGTTGCTATAATGAACGGATCCTACTAATATTATCTCTATAACAAACGGTTTTACCTATAAAATTGAGAATGCTATAACTAACGAAATTCCTACAACCTAACATTATTATTTTTTTTTTTTTTTTTTTACTAATTTATTGTTTTTATTACAAGTATTAATGATATTCTTTATTTCAGGGTTTAGATGCATATTTATGCACTTTTTACAATTTTATATTATATTTTCAGTGTTAAGTGGTTGTATTTGGGGGCCTGGAACGGATTAATCCTATATCGAATCTAATGCTATAACGAACAAGGTTCTAGAACCATTAATTGCGTTATAGCATACCCCACTGTATATATATATATATATATATATATATATATATATATATATATATATATATATATATATATATATTATAAAATCACGTGGACTTACGACCGTCGGGACTTACGACCGCCAATAGATAAAAAAAAATTTTTTTAAATGACACGCATTTTCATACCGAAACGTTCCAGTTAATGTAGTTCCATGTATAATTAGAAAATTATGGGGCCCATGTGCATTCAGCTGACTACATTAAAGGTTAAGTGCTCATCACACTGTATCCATTCCTTATTTATTACTTTCACTGTACTGTATCCATTCATCATTATTCATTACTTTACTGTACTGTATTTCATTTATTTATTAAAAAAAAAATATTTTTTTTTTTTTATCTATACGGACTTAGACCATATCGGACTTGACCATTTGGTCCCTACCCCGTCGTATATATATATATATATATATATATATATATATATATATATATATATATATATATTGTCACCTCGTTTAACCTAACTCGGTTAACGTATCGATAAACGAACTGCCTTCCATAAGGATTCTAACCGTTAATATAAACCGGTTAACGGTTCTTACGAACCGACTAATGTTAAGCTTGCACTGACCGGCAACCAGCTTTAGTATCAGTCCGCCAATACATTAATCGGTTCTAGGGCTTAAATTTCTACTATTTTAGTAAATATCAAGAAGTTTATACTATTCAATATTTAAAAGTTTAATATTCAATTTCTTATTCATTTTAACAATTATTGAACATAATTGAAGGTAAAGGACTAGTTTAATGCGCCGCATCCAGCCTCTTAACAAAGCAAACAGGCGTTAGTCTCTGTTTTCACTGAGGTAACATCTTGCTTGAGACTCTCTTCAACTAAACGCTTTTTTTTCTGTGTTTCAAGCAAATTATTGGTCATTTGAAATATATTTTACATATTGACAATATTTAATGCAGTGCCGTGTTGATATATAAAGAAAATAATCTTGAAAAACACCAAGAGAACTAAAATTTTATGGATGAAATGGTGCCATGGGGTGACTTCTCTTCCACCCCAATGCCTTTTCTTCTTCCTTCTCCTCCACCCCATTCTAATTCCCATCATCATCATCATCATCCAGGAACCTTCTTACCTCAAAGTAAGTGAACTTTTCTGTTTGAATTTAGGAAATTTCAGTGAGCTGGACAATTACCCAAAAACCCATTGAAACAATGGTTTCAGGTTAACGAACTTTTCGGTTATCGAACGACAATATAGACAGTTAGATTATAGATCACTGGATATATATATATATATATATATATATATATATATATATATATATATATATATATATATATATATATACTGAGAGAAGGCTTCACAGTTACTCACCTCAGAATTGCTAACACCCACAAGTGCTTGGCCTACACAGTGATGGGAACAGAAACAGCTTGCGATTTGGAACAGTATCTAAAATAATATCTATAGAACAGGGAGAAGGAACCAACATTCTGGTGGATGAAAATTGGGTTAAGTTTTGAAGTTAGAAAGGGTTGGTTTAATTATACGAAATGCCTTAGTTTAACTTTTTTTAAAGTAGGTATGTGAAGCTAGAACTTCCCTCATATATCTGTATAAGAGCAATACTCAGTGTAGGGACAAATGAGTTCTGTGTTAGTTGAAATAGTTGTTTGGAAGAGAAGAACCTTCAAAGCTGAACAATATTTCCAGTTTCTTTAAGGTTGATTTAATTATGCAAGCTATATGTGACTTCCATGATTGGTAAGAAGGTACAGTGATTCCAAATGTATTTTGTACCTGTTGGTGGAATTATAGAATCATTAAAGGAGATGGGGAAAGTCATGAGCTTGAGGAGAAATAGGTGGAGATAATTTTGGGAAAGGCATATATGAGTTAGTACAGTGGAAGTCCAAAAATCCGGACTGCTTGGGGATTGGGTCGGTCCGGATTTTTGGATTTTCCGGATTCTCAGGCAGTACTTTTAAAATTCAAATTTAAGGAGGAATAAAGAAGAGATGAACAGGTACATTTTGATAGTTTATTCATTAGCAAATATAGCATGCTTTATTAATCAAAACGAGCAATTTTAATGAAAAAGCTGTAAATTCTAGAATTTTATTCTTTGCCTTTTTTATATCATAAATTGTAGACTTTCTAATGTCGTATGTTTCCATTAGAACAGTACTGCTCACACCACGTTCTAGTTTCTTAATTATTTCAAGTTTGTCACTCAATTTCAACGTGTTCTTCTTTCTCTTCACACAACGAAGTTTATCTACTTTAGGAGCCATTATTATGGGCTTGTACAGTACTCTGTAAATGGAAAGAGTAGGATTCAAAATATTGTTATATTACAATGGTATTCTATTCATACTGTGCTTGATATAATGCATTCACGGAAATGTAATATTTTTGCTGAAATGATGTACATATTACAGTGGAAAGTGGGATAAAATCGTGACGAAAACAATGACTTTCGCTTTCTTTCGTTCAAAAGATGTTACCGTAATCGCTTTTCTAATGGTTTAGTTAAAAAACTGTTGTATTACAATAATATTCCTTCCTAATTGACTTGAATGAATACTTGAATGGAAATATACAATATTTTTGTTGAAACTACCCGCGTTTCAGTGTACATTAAAGTGTCGTAATAATAAATGGTAAACAATTTGCCTTCGGCACTCGTGTTTCAGGCACGGCGAGCCTCAGTTTATGGGACGTAGAGCGTTTTTACTGAAGGTTTTGTTGTTCCATTACCCTCAAAAACGTGGGTCGACCTATAAACAAGGAATATCATAAATTAACGATTTCTTGGTCAAATAATCAGGGTTGACTGATAAACGAGGGGGGGGGTTATAGACGAGTATATACGGTATGTTGTCACAGTTTGATTGCTCGTTTTAAAGTGGCGACCACGTGGTCGCTTGTTGTCGCTGTGCAGCTGTGGCGCTCACGCATGCGCACATACACACAAAAGCCCGCTTAAAAAAAAAAAAAGAATTAGTTTTCGAAAAGTCCGGATTGTCGGGTGGTCCGGATTTTTGGACTTTTACTGTATAAGAGAAGATGCCTTTGCAACAAATTATGTTACCAGTAGTGGTTTTGTTGTTTATTGATCAGCTTAGAATCTAGTTTGTTGGTGAATGATTAAATTTCTCTTTATCACATTATTAGAATGTTTGAATGATTTCCTTCTTCATTATCATAATCCCATTGATAGTTGAAAGTTTTGTAATGAAATTAAAAGTTATAGTAGATTTATTTTTCTTCTCATTTGATTGAAAATTATATGAATTATTTAGCCTTTTACCAGGATATGGTTGAAAATTGATTGAGCTTCATCTTCATCAGATTCTGATTAGTTGGCCTCCTCAATGCCACCATGTGATTGGTTGGCTTTTTTTTCTTCCAGAATGTGGTTGAAGAATATGTGAGAGATGATTGTTGCCAAGCTTACTCCAAAGAGTGCACTCCAGAAGTGAACAACCAAGTTGCAGAAGACAAGGGTTTACCTTCAGAAGCACTTTGCAACACATTTCACAGTCAAGCAATTAGTTCAACAAGTATATCTTCTTGTAAAGTGGACAATCACATTGATAATAGACTAAACTTGTGTAAGAAAGAACAACTGCTTGAGACAGATAATTATCCATGCAGTAGTAAAGAACTTCATTTTGATCCATCATTTCCTAAGATGCTTCACCTTAAATCCAAAAGAGATGTTGAAACTCCAAAGAATGGAGTTCTTAAAGATGAAAATTCCAAAACATCAGATAAATTCCTTAAAGAACAAAGACAAATAGCTAAACCTATGCTGGATCCAAAGCAAAAGATAAATCATCCTCAGGATTCGAAGATTTGTTTCAAGAATTCTAATGCATCAATTCGATCAACTGAAGATTATCCCAAATCAGCAATTAAACTACCCTGTGATGAAAAATTTTCAAAAGACAAAGAAGCAGGAAGCCAGAGCCATATAACTGGAGACCTTCAAGAGTGTAGCACTGTGCATGAAAGATTGGATACGATTATCACTGCCAAAGTTTCCATGCCTATGAAAAGCATACCACTTCATCATGAAAAAGATGCAAATAGTGATTGTCTCCAAAAGCATAGCATTGTAAATAGATTTCCAGGGGAAAAACAAACTTCTGCCAACAAACAAACTTATGCCAATAAACAAACTGATGCTAACAAACAAACTGATGCCAGCAAACAAACTGATGCTAACAAACAAACTGATTCTAACAAACAAATTGAAGCCAATAGACAAACTGATGCCAACAAACAAACTGATACCAACAAACAAACTGATACCAACAAACAAACTGATGCTAACAAACAAACTGATGCCAACAAACAAACTGATGCCAGCAAACAAACTGATGCTAACAAACACACTATTGCTACCAAAAAAATTGAAGCCAACAAACAAACTGATGCCAACAAACAAACTGTTGCTAACAAACAAATTGATGCTAACAAACAAACTTATGCCAGCAAACAAACTGATGCCAACAAACAAACTGATGCCAACAAACAAACTGATGCCAACAAACTGATGCTAACAAACAAACTGATGCTAACAAACAAATTGAAGCCAACAAACAAACTGCTGCCAACAAACAAACTGCTGCCAACAAACAAACTGATGCCAACAAACAAACTGATGCCAACAAACAAACTGCTGCCAACAAACAAACTGATACCATCAAGCAAACTGATGCCATCAAGCAAACTGATGCCAACAAACAAACTGATGCCAGCAAACAAACTGATCCCAACAAACAAACTGCTGCTAACAAACAAACTGCTGCTAACAAACAAACTGCTGCTAACAAACAAACTGCTGCTAACAAAGAAACTGATGCTAACAAACAAACTGATGCCAATAAACAAACTGATGCCAACAAACAAACTGCTGCTAACAAACAAACTGCTGCTAACAAACAAACTGATGCCAACAAACAAACTGCTGCCAACAAACAAACTGATGCCAACAAACAAACTGATGCCAACAAACAAACTGATGCTAACAAACAAACTGCTGCCAACAAACAAACTGATGCTAACAAGCAAACTGATGCTAACAAACAAATTGAAGCCAACATACAAACTGTTGCTAACAAACAAACTACTGCCAACAAACAAACTGCTGCCAACAAACAAACTGATGCTAACAAACAAACTGCTGCCAACAAACAAACTGATGCCAACAAACAAACTGATGCTAACAAACAAACTAATGCTACCAAACAACAAACAAACTGATGCTAACAAGCAAACTGATGCTAACAAACAAACTGATGCCAACAAACAAACTGATGCTAACAAGCAAACTAATGCTACCAAACAAATTGAAGCCAACAAACAAACTTTTGCCAACAAACAAACTGCTGCCAACAAACAAACTGCTGCCAGCAAACAAACTGATGCTAGCAAACAAACTAGTGCTAGCAAACGAATTGAAGCCAACAAACAAACTTTTGCCAACAGACAAACTGATGCCAACAAACAAACTGCTGCTAACAAACAAACTGATGCCAACAAACAAACTGATGCTAACAAACAAACTGTTGCCAACAAACAAACTGATGCTAACAAACAAACTGTTGCCAACAAACAAACTGATGCCAACAAACTAAGTTGCCCGGCTCAACAAACTGATGCTAATAAACAAACTGTTGTCCAACAAACAAACTACCCAACAAACAAACTGCCTTAACAAACAGAATTGGTCCAGCAACAAACAAAGGTGCCAACAAACAAACTGCCAACAAACAAACAAACTGCCAACAAACAAACAACAAAACAAAAAATGATGCAACAAACTGTTTACCAACAAACTGTTGCCAACAAACAAACTGTTGCCAACAAACAAACTGCTGCTAACAAACAAACTGATGCCAACAAACAAACTGATACTAACAAACAAACTGTTGCCAACAAACAAACTGCTGCTAACAAACAAACTGATGCCAACAAACAAACTGTTGCCAACAAACAAACTGTTGCCAACAAACAAGCTGCTGCTAACAAACAAACTGATGCCAACAAACAAACTGATGATAACAAAAATACTGCTGCCAACAAACAAACTGTTGACATAAATCTCATGCAGTCAAGGATCATGCCAAGACATTATCAAAGAAATGCCTCTGTAAGACCAAAGGAAATCAAGTTTCCTGATGATGCAAATGAGAAACAGTTGAACTTAAAATCGTATCATGATATAACAAGCCATGCTAGTACTGTTGAAAAACCACTTCAGCATTTTAATCGTCATGATAACAAATCATCACAGTTAGCCGAACTGCCATTAGAAACCATTCCTACTTGTAACCTAAGTTCTGTTAACACTCCAAAAAATGAAATAACACAAAGACGTAAAAATGAATGTACAAATTGGGAAATGGGAATTTTGAAGACCTCAGTACAACGTTCTTCAGGGCATCCAGAGTCCTGCAAGTTTCTTTCAGATAATACGAGTTCTGGGCTTCTTAGAAAAGAAATGTCAGTAACATCCACTCCATCAGATAACCCAGAATATAAAGGACTAGAAGGGGTGATTATGAAGCACATCTTAGAATTTAGAAACTCTTGTATTAAAAGGATGAGAGAGAATTCTTTTTTTGTGGAAACTACCTCTGAGAACCAAGGTATGACTAGTCAGTTAGCAAAAAACACCAGTAAATTTGAAAAGTGGCTTGAAGTAACAGAGAAGTCAGAAACCTGCAGCAGCCAGAAATTGGAGAAACCTGGCCATGAGAATACTTCTATGAATACTGAATTTGATAGAAATTACAGTGACCAGAAGAAACAAGAAGAGGTTTTAGAGAAGTCAGAACCAGACCTAAAAGGACAGGAATCACATGATACTCGGGAGAATTTTAAAGCTAAATTTTTAAATCCTGGAAGTCAAGATATTGAGCATTCTAATGTAGAAGTTAATGACAAGCCTTTGATCAAAATGGGGGTTTTAAATTCCCCAAAGGCAGAGGATTATCCTCATCCAGTTATCCAAGATTATACCGTGGCCACAAACATGCATGATTCCCGAAGCCTCATTTATGTAGTACCAGATCAACATTATAATGTGCTAAATGCCAACTTCTTATATAATTGGGTAAATACTTGTCCCACTTTTGGAGGTACAAGTACCACCTTTGCAGTAGCACCTGTGTACCAACCCACCTATGGACACACTCATCATGCTGTACAGCTTATAGGAACACCTGCTTTTCACTCATTAGTGGGAGGAGCTACTAATAACAGTTCATGTGTAAGCTGTAGCAAAAATAATACTTGCTGTCATTATTGGTCACAAAAAAGGTAATCTTAAGTTTCTCTGGAATCGTATGGCTAAGTGCATCCTATGATCAATAGAATAATTTGTATTTTCATTTTTGTAACTATATAATTTATTTCATAACTTGTGGTTATGGTATTAAAATTGTTTTTATTATTTTTTTATTTTATATATATATATATATATATATATATATATATATATATATATATATATATATATATATATATATATATATATATATATATATATATATATATATATATATATATATATATATATATACATGCAGTATATACTGTATATATATGCTGATAACCACAAGGAAAAAGAAAACACGAAGTTCCCAAGCGCTTTCGTGTAATTCCTTTCACTTGCCTGATTATGGCATCCATCTTAATATTAGCCTACAGAATATCTGTTGACTTGTACCACTTGAGCAATACCCATTGGCCCAAATACAATCGGATATTTTCTTCCTTCGGTCAGGTTAATTTTTTTTCTTGGTTATATCAAGTTTTACTAACACAAAATCACACAAACTTCTTGAGTAGCTAAATAAATTATCATTCTATATACTTTAAAAAAAATAAATTTATTTTGAAGATGAGTTCCCTAAAAGTGAGTTTAATGGGCTTGTTTATATCCCAACATCTTAATTGCAGGAAGTGTAGTTTGTGAGTATTTGTTGTATGCTTGCATACATAGCCCAATTCAGTATTTTAATTATCATGAGTTATATTTATTTGTACTAATAAAGTGCTGTTGTGTTCACCCATTTTTTTAAATTAATATTAATCAAATTAAACCAAATATTCGAGGTAACGTATGCCAGATGTCATTTGTCACATGAGATCCTTTAGTGCATATATGGTCATAGCTCAATGTTGGTTGATGGTCAGGCCACAGGATTTTGAAGGCTTGATGGTTCCTTGTCAGTTACTTGGGTACTTTCCTTTGCTGTTTTCTTGAAAATATTGAGTATGTAGAAGCAAAAGTTTTGTGAAATAGAAAACTGTATAAGTATATTATTATATATTTTCTATATTCTTTTATACTTTACCCAGTCCCTGGAATATCCCTGAAAACAAGTACAGTTTGATGTTTTTGAAGATTCTGAATTATGTTACTGTATTTGTTATAGTGTTAAGGTTCCACTTATTAAAGTTTGGTATTTATAAATGGTCTTCAGTTGATATAATGAACATGTATCCTCGATAATCACGGGACCCGATAATTGCTGATCTGGCTTATCATGGTATCCTCAATTACAACCATGTGTACGCTTATCACTGATTGATCTGGGTTTTCGCAGAATTATCATGGGACAGCGACGGGTCTGGGAGAGCCAGCAATAACATCAACTGCCAAGAGATAGCAGCACGAACTCTTGAGGAGGGGGCGGGGCATCTTTTCTCAGCTGGGAAAAAACGCGTTATACCTCTATTATCACCACCTAAATCATAGTTTCAGTGATGGCTTTGCTTTAGCTAGAGCAGATTTGCACGATATCCACTGCCTCCTACCCATTTCCCACCTTCCTCCCACCCACTTCCCACCTTCTTCCTCCCACCCACTTCCCACCTTCTTCCTCCCACCCACTTCCCACCTTTTTCCTCCCACCCACTTCCCACCTTCTTCCTCCCTCCCACTTCCCACCTTCCTCCTCCCTCCCACCCACTGCATCTCGCCAACACTCTGCCTCACTCATTCATTTTACTACGAGTCACTCATGATACAATATTGTACAGTACTGTACATTGTTTATTTGTTATTCATTCATTAGTAAAGATATGTTACAAGTATTACATCTTTTAGTGTACCTGCACATGTTTTGGGGGTATATATTGGTCAGTTAGGGGTGCATCTTTGGGGTCGTGGGACAAAAAAAAAATTTCCCGTATGTTTTGTGTTTTGATATGTATGGTTTTGCTTACAGCGGTAGTTTTCTGGAACCTAACCCCCATGATTATCGAGGATACATCCATTACTCATGCAGAAATGCAAAGAGAAGTATGAAAGGAATTGGATTATGTACTGTATTAGTACAGTAGGAATTTTGATGGTTGGGCCTTTGGAAGTTATTCATACTTGTGATTATAACTCAGCCAACTACTGTTAATTTTTTCTACTGTGGTACTAGAACCAGTTTTTTTTTTTTTAAATTTCAGTTCAGTCTAATCAGTAAATTTGTATTATTTACTGAATACAGTGTATATTAAATTTGTCATAAATCCTGTCAGTAGGTTAAAACAACAGTTCAGCATGTAGAATATGGGCTTTTATTTCCTCAAGAATGTTTAAATACATAATCTATATTGAAAGTAAATGTTTACACTAAGCCTTTACAAAATATTGTACTTTCAAAAATATGTAGAGTACAGTACTGTACTGTATCTGCCACAATATATATATATTCAATTTAAGATTATTGATTTAAAGCGACACCCACAATTAAGGACAATGTTTTAATGTAAAGCAAATCTTTCCCATTTTGCGTGAGTCAATCTGGTGCATCATATTTAAAATTTTGAACCTCATGTTTCTCTGGGCATGCTACACTGTCCTAAGGGCAAAGCTGTACTATACATGTAGTACTCAAAATATTGTACTAAATGATTACTAAAGTTTTTGTCTTGTGCAAACTATAGCATGTTTATATTCAGATTAATCACTATCTTATAAGAATTCCAGCAATGTAAATTATTTTCTCCCCAGTCACTTCTTTGACATTTTATAAACAAAAAACATAAACTCAAGCTAAACAACATAAATAAACAAATAAACACTTCACTAGACCTTTGGCACTAACTGTCAAACATGTCACTGTCACTTTCCTCCCCCCAGTCAGGGTTTGGTGTTTTAGGCTAAAAGTTTTTAACTTATATAATGTCACAGACTAAAGTTAGAGAATATAATTTGTATTGCTGGAATCCTTGCAAGGCAGCGAATAATTTGAATATAAACGTCATATATTTTGCACAAGAGATAAAAATTTTGGCTCTTAAATTAGAACTAAAATTTGTATGTCTAATGCGAGCTATAGCATGTTTATATTCAAATTAATCACGATCTTATAAGAATTTCAGCAATGTTAATTATATTCTCCCATGTCAGGTCAGTGACATTTTATAAGAGAAAAACTTGAAGTCATTCTTAAGGATAGATAAATAAATAAGCATAGACCTTGGCATCAACTGTCAAATTTATAGAAATGTTTTTTATAGAAATGTTTTCAGGTTTCAAGAATCAATATATATATATATATATACCGGGGGTATATATATATATATATATATATATATATATATATATATATATATATATATATATATATATATATATATATATATATATATATATATATATATATATATATATATATATATATATATATATATATATATATATATATA